TCAGATTAAATCTATCTGGACCCAACTATGCAATGTCTCCACTATGCCGCGACCCCACTGTGCTACCGTTTTTTTTTGTTTTTTTAAATAGGCAATTGGTGGATTATTCCAAAAGCAAGATTAACTCTTATTTCTTTAATTATATCCTGATTAGTAGTTTTTTGATTTTAAATTATAGTACATGTTGGGGCCAGGGGCACTAAATATTATAGTGCGTACCCGAACCGGCTAGTTGCACCAATACCGATCAGGCTGCGTAGTGTGGTGTATGTAAATAGAATCACTGTAGGTGGGAGGGGTCCCCTGCGCAGCAACCAGTGATCTATGTAGTGACAGATGTGTTAGTGTGTAATTATATAAGTGTGTGCTATCAAACTAAATAAATAAATAATTTAAACTTTTTACTACAATTAATAATAATAATTTAATAAACGACTTGACAAGATAAATTTAGCCCTTTTGGCTCAACCAACAATATAAATATGCACTCTAAGGCTATAACAGAATAACAACAACAATGAACTATATAACTTTAATAAATCAATAACAAATGAGTATGATTCTTCCAATTATAAATGATTCTCAACTCTTTCTTTAAAGTAATTATAGTAATAAACAATATGTATAAAATAACTCCAAGAACAATGGTGTAAAATTATGTAAATTAATTAAAAGAACAATATAAAGAATAATAGTATAAATTCAATAATAAGACGTAGTAACTAAATTAAACAAATTTGACTAGATAATAATTATTATTAAAATGACATTGAACAGATAACACAAAATTAAAGATAGTTTAATTATTTAATGATTTACCCATAATATAAAACAACAAATACCCGTACGATAATGACTATTTTATACTCACAAGGTCCTTATGACCGTTGTGCGTTGGCCTTACGCCTACAATGAAATAAATAATAAATAAATAAAACTTGTGATAACTAATATGTTCAATAAATCACAATCAATAATCACTATAATAATAATAAAGAAGACTACACTAAATTACAAAAAGGAACACAAATCAACAATAGTACTCACAATCTGCAGAGCTGCTGGCCAGAGATGCTATCTAAAACTAAACACAGAACACAACAATAACAAAAGAACTTACTAATTAAAGACAATTTTTTGGTAACTAAACAATTTTTAATATCACAATTAGTTAAAATACATTTGCTAATTTGTAGCTTAAGAGAAGAATAAAATCGCAATTTGTGTAACGACAAATAGTACTCAAATTAAAAAAACTGTGTTAAATTAACAATATTATCAAAACCAAATGAAAAAAAATTTGTTTTACAATTTACTGCAATTAGTGCAGTCTATAAAAAAAACATACCATTTTTTCCCAACAGATGATTATTCCGCTAAACAATACATCACTATACTATATTATAAAAGTGATTATGTGCGTGTGTGGTGAGTAGTGTGTAACAGCGATGTCCACTACTACTTGAGTAGTAGGGAGTAGGTATGGTGATAAAAGTTAGACCGGTCCGAGTACACTGGGCGTGCGTGCGTACAACACACTATTATGTTGCAGCTGCAACAGTACATGTATAAATACTAATTATAGTTTTTAAATTTAGTATGAATTTGATATTCAATAACTTAATACTGTAATTTAAACGGAGAAATGATAAAAATAATAAAGAAGTTATATTTTGCTTTACATTTACGTGTATAAAAATTTAAAGGGCTTGTACAATAATACAATAATTTTCAATAAAAACTGTTTATTACTATAAAAAATGCACTGAACTACAAGGAACTTTCATCAGAAGCAAAAATATACTTTTCTAAACCAACTTTTCGCTTTGTTTTCNAAAAATTTCGTACAAAAGTTGTTTAAAAGACAATTATAAATAAATATAGTATCTTATATTTTTTCATTTAAACAAATATTTTTCGAGTTTCATTACATTTAATATGAGTACTAAAATTTATTTTCCATTTTTTTCATTTTACATTACTTTTTATCATATTATACTTACATTAGACACAATGTTATAAATGAATATGTGTGTATGCGTGAGTTTATTTATTTATTGTATCATTAAAGTGTAGTGTATATTAATATACACTACAATAATAGAGTAGGTAATTGATTTGACGCTATTTTGTTTAAACCCAACTAAACGCTAAATTGTACATTCCGAAACAACAATCATATTATGTCAATTGCCACCGGAATTTCTGGTAATCTTTTTCTTTTTCTTTGCCTTTATCCCAACTAGTGCTGAGCATTATATTGACCAATCCGGATTACGGATTACAATTATTTAATCCGGATTTCGGATTCAATCCGTTGACTCGGATTTCGGAAATAAGTAGTATATTGTTTTTTTAGTTTTGAAAATTTTTAACCAAAATTGTTAATATTTCTTTCACATAATGCTAATTTATAATTATTGTAATTTAGCATTATGTGAAAGAAATATTAACCATTTGGCTGTTTCACCAGCCAGACAATTTCTTTTAGAAGTTATAATATTCCCCGCTGTAGAAAAAGCTCTCTCTGAGAGCGTAGATGTTGACGGGATACATAAATATTTTTTAGCAAGTTTTGATATCACTGGATATTTCTTGTCATTTTCAGCCCACCATGTTAATGGACAGGCATTCTTGTTAATACAGTTTTCTTTTAAGTATTTGTCGAGCTCATTTTGTTCAATTATATCTTCACCATTATGATTTTGGGGAAATAAAATATCTAAAGCAGATACTACAGGGTTTGGCTGATTGGTAGTATCATCAATTGAAGAATCTTCATAATTTAAATGATGCATAATAAAATCTTTTAAGGTAATTAAAGTATCACTATCGTCATCAAAAAAATTTTTATAACGTGGGTCTAAAAATGAAGCAATATTTAGAAGAAATTTAGAATCATTGTGCATTTGACTAAAAAATCTTACTTCGAACTCTTGGGACAATGTTTCTTTAAATATTTTAATTTTATGTTGGTCAGATTCGTTGGGAGTCAAATAGTGTTGGACAATACTTTTTAAAATTGGATGTACAGTTGATATTGTTGGAGTTGTTGCAGATGATAAGACTTTAGTAACAAGATCGAAAGGCTGAGCACTTTAACTAACTGCTCCAATAGCTCCCATTTATTAATAGCACTTCTGAACAATAACAATTCTCGCTATATTAGAATAACCCATGAAGATTTGTTTACATTAAACCGGATTGGATACTTTAATCCGGATTGAACGGATTGTCACTTTTGTTTCAATCCGGATCGATCCGGATCGGTAATCCGGATACGGATTGATCCGGATGTGGTGCTCAGCACTAATCCCAACTACTTGGGATCACCCACCCTTATCCTGAACTTCCACTTGACCCGATTTCCCCCACATCATCTACGCTCACATCAGGTGTCCTCATATCACATTCAATAACATCTCTTTTTTGGTCTTCCTCTACCGCTTCTTCCTTCAACTTTCATTTCTATAACTATTCTTTGAACATCCGATTCCTTTCTCCTCATAACATTACTAAACCATCTAAGTCTATTTTTTCTCATCTTATCCACAATTCACACTACACCTATACTCACTCTTATATACTCGTTCCTTATTTTATCTTCTCTAGTCACTCCACTCATCCAACTAAGCATTCTCATCTCTGCAACACTTATTCTCTGCTCTACTTTCTTATCAATCGCCCAACACTATGAACCATACTTCATAGCTGGCCTCACAATTTCTTACTAAATTTATAAACTATAATTAGTATTTATTCATATATTATATTTTAAAATCAAAGAGCTACTAATCAGGATATAATTAAAGAAATAAGAGTTGATGTTGCTTTTATAATAATCTATAACTTTCTCTAAAGGAAACACTATCTACAGATTTGCATCGAAGCGTTTCTTATGATAGTGATTTTAATCACTGTCAGATATCATCTATACTTGTCCCATCTATGCCTCGTCCACACTGTGCNCACTGTGCCTCGACCTCATTGTGTTACCGTTTTTTTTAAATTACTTTAAATTTGTGTTTTTATCAAATAAAATTATAGTTCAATAAATTTACTTTGTTTGTCAATTAAAAATATAAATTTAATAGAGTTACACACCGTGTGTTTCAATGTAATTGCTTTATTTTTAAATATTAATAAAAATTAATTTATGAGTTTTTCTTAAATGAAGGAATAATATTATAATATAAAATATTATTAAATTAATTACTATTTTATAATGATTATTTACGAGGTCTGGCTATTAAATAACAAGACTGGTTACGAAAAAGAGTTTTATTATAAAAATTATTCTACATTCGAATGCTCCCCTTCAATATACTCCCCTCCTCTCCCCACACACCTTTTCATACGTATTTTCCATTGATCGAAGCAGTGCTGGAAGTCTTCTTTAGTGAGGGCCTTTAGGAGCTCCGCCGTTTTTTGTTTTGCCGATTCCATAGATTCAAATCGGGTCCCTTTCAAAGCAGATTTTATCTTTGGAAACAGAAAAAAATCGCACGGGGCCAAATCTGGCGAGTACGGCGCATGTTCGAGCACTGGAGTACGTTTATCGGCCAAATACCGCTTCACAGATAGCGCGTTATGGGCAGGTGCATTGTCCTGGTGCAAGATCCACGAGTTGTTCTTCCACAACTCGGGCCGTTTCTTACGAACCCGTTCTCGCAGTGTTCCTAAAACTGACAAATAGTAAGTCTGGTTGACAGTCTGACCCTCCGGAACCCATTCAGTCATCACGATACCGTTAATGTCGAAAAAAACGATCAGCATTGCCTTAAATTTTGATTTGGACATCCTTGCTTTTTTGATTCTGGGCGATTGAGGCGTCTTCCAATGCATCGATTGCCGCTTTGTTTCAACATCGTATTGAAAAATCCATGTTTCGTCGCAAGTAATAATGTTTTCCATCAGTCTGGGATCGTCTTCTAACCTTTCAAGAAAATCTGAGCAGACCTGTTGACGCAAGAGCTTTTGGTCAGGAGTCAGATTTTTTGGCACCATCTTCGCACAAACTTTTGTCATGTTCAATTCCTCGTGTAAAATTTTTCTAACCGTTTCCTTATCGACGTTTACGGCCTCGGCAATCATCCGGATGCTCATTCGACGATCTGCACGCACAATTTGGTTGATTTTGGTCACTGTTTCCGGAGTTGAAACAGTGACAGGGCGACCTGGGCGCTGATCATCTTTAGTGCTCTCTCGGCCATCACTGAAGCGCTTACACCATTCGAAAACACGCGCACGAGATAGAGAATTGTCCCCGTAGGCCTCTTTTAACAATTTATAGCACTCGGTTGGAGATTTTTTCAACTTGACGAGAAATTTGAGATTAATACGTTGCTCGTGTTTTTCGTCACACATGGTTTTCGGCACGAAAAAAAAACACGTTTGTTTCTAACCGCTATTGCACAAATACTATAATAGTGATAAAAACGTGTTTTGGTACGTAAATAGATAAGACTTTAAGCTATCCAACGCACTACTCGTATTTTGCACCACCACTATAGGACGCTCTATAGGCGCGCAGTCTCGTTATTTAATAGCCAGACCTCGTATGAGTATTTTTAATTATTTACAATAAATAAAGTTCGCATAAACAATTGTATGAATAAATATATCACTTAGGTATATTATTAAAAATTTTAATAAATTATTTTAAATATTTTGATATAATTTAATTTTATGTCCAAAGTTAGGGGGTCTATTTAGCACAATTGGTAACGCCTGCAAATATCATTAGGATAAAAATCTATTCAAATAACATTTTGTACTCAACTATATGCATTTAATAAGCACTAATACTATGAAAAATAACTTTATTAACATAAGTGTTCCGATTAAGAGCCCCAGTTCATTAAAGTAATACTACATTAAGATTATTTTTTGGTCTTTTTAATTACAAAATGCTTCAACTTTATATTTTTATAGAAAATATATCATGTTTTTTTTTTTAATAACCATATATTCATTTATGCCATTTATAATTAGTCGAAAAAGGAGACATGGCTAAAATAAAACCAACAGTAAAAAAAATCATAATTCGCGCATTATCTTAAGACCAAATAAATTTTTCAATAAATCTAAAATCAAAAATTGTAATTGATATGTCTCTGTCTTAATTAGATACAATTTTAAGTATTAATACTGCAAAAGTTGATTAATAATTCTGTTTATTTTGCAATTCATTATAAAAATTCAGATGATGGACAATCATACCAATTTGAAGATGATAAGATGAGAAAATGGAAACTTGGAGTTATTAAAATATGCTTTTGAAAATGGTTGTAAATGGGATGAAGTCACAACAAGAGCTGCTGCTTTTACTAAGTATTTCGTTGTGTAAATTCCAGTGTTGTAAAATGTTTGTCATGTATGACAAGTATATTATGAAAATTGAAGCAATTTTTTTTTCATACGTATATGTTCTATTCACTATTTAAAGTAAATATAGAATAATTTGTTAAAAAATGTTTTACTGAAATTATGAAATTATTATAATAGTGTCGAAAATTTATTTTATTACACAAAAAATGAACAAAAATACTTTTTAAATTATCAAAAACTACAAAAAATAATGCATAAAAAATTTTTTTATATTAGAACTTTGTGACGTGTATAATTTGAATTTTTAGAGATTCCTGCTTATTTTATTATTCCATGTCAAATATCAAAAAAAATTTACAATTTATTATAAACATTTTTGATTTCATATAGTAAAGATTTAAACGAAAAAAATTTAAGAAAACATCTCTTTGATTAGGGAAGACATAGGTAATGGCACCTACTTTGGTAATTTGATAAATATTACTATAATTTATGTCACTATTGTTAAGTCTACTCTTACTTGAAATTCCAATATTTTTTCTCAATGTATGGAAGTTTCCAAATCATTGTAACATATTTACTAAGGGTTAACTTAATAAAATTATCTTTAGAATGTATTTCAGATATTTTATATCAATTTAGAAATATATTTGATTAACTTAATATGTATAAATAATGTTAAATCGAATTTACCTACATTAAATATCAAACAGGTATTTATCATCAAAAAATGTATTAATTGCCAATGCTAGAGAAAAAAAAATGACCTTGTAGATTTCATCGAGTAATTCATACAAAGTTTAATACTTATAGACTCACCTTCATTTTTATTGGTCTTTTTTTATCTTGTGTTACAAGTGTTATATTCTGAATAACTATAGACAAATTACTCATTGAATAGGTAATATATATATAAAAAATCAACGTCATAATTAATTATTTTTTTATATTTTTTAATTTAAAATATTATTTTACATAAATAATAATTTAAATATACTATATTATTTACTTAATTATTTCAGTTAACCTCATTCATTTGCATGTAGAAAAAGCTAGAAAATTGGAATTGACGTTAAAACATACTTAATTTAGTAAAATATGACGAATTATTTATACAAATACAAGTATACATGTGTGTCAATGTATATATACAGAGTGTTCAATAAGTTTTGAAACACCGATTATTTAAGGTTAGTTGAATATTCAATAGTATAGTATAAAAATATAAAAATAATAAGTATAATAATCTTTAGTATCTCTCTTAAGGAGCATGTTCAGTTTTTATTTATATATATTTTTGTAACAGAATTAATACTAATTTGTTTAAATTTTGTTTTTATTTCAATCGTTTTTAAAATTTTTGATTGTAGAAATTACTATACGAATATAATAAATATATAAAAAAATTAATATTCTAGTGGTTAAGTATTTACTAGAAGAAAGTACTAAAAAAAAATTTGTTGTGACTGAGACAACGTTTAAATTAATATTACTAAATTAAAAAGCACTTTAACAAAACGTTCAATCTAGAATAAAGAAAATATCTTAAACAGTATTTTAGTTAACAAACTTTTTTAAATCATTATTTCATGATATACAAAAACAACACGTGTAGACGATGATGACGGCCGTTTTGATAATCATAAACTCTTTGACTACCACCGGACATGATTTGTATTTATGTCAACGCCGACGGTCGCCGATAAAGCATCTCGAGTTTTGTTAAAGTGCAATTTAGGGAAGCACAACACTGCCGATATATTACCTTCTTTATTCGGCTTATCCAAATCAGTCCAATGGTAATTTCCCGGCCGCATCAAAATTTATTAATTTTTGAATTACAAACGTATTTATATGCAGATTCTATGGTCAACTGCCCATAGCGCTAAATTTTGAGAGACGGCAAATATTAATAGTGTGTTTAGCATTTATTAGTGAAGCTATTTTGATAACATATAATTTATATTATTTAGAGCCTCCTTTATTATTTTTTTGCGTCTCCCTTATCTATATTAGGATATAATATATGCAACTCATGTTACATGAGGTGTACCTACTTATTTTACTGTTTACATTTGATTTCATGAAAGCAGCATCTCCTCCTCCCACCAATATTAACTTTTTAGTTAATATTTAGCAGTATATGGTGTGCTCATGCCATCAATGTAAACAAAGTAAATACGAGTCAATAAGGAATAATAAAACAATACAATTTAAGATTTTGAATAAGGTGATAAAAATTTAGCTATATAATTATTTAATTAGAAAGGATACATTAGTATCAATAGTAGAACCTATGATTATTTCCAATATCCACTCTCCCAAGTTTGTAATCTGTTGTACCTTCAAGGAGCATCTTTCGCGTGAGCTTTCAATATTTATACTAATCGTTTCCTACGAGAAGCTCTACCAGTCGTAGGTTTTTTGATTAACCTCAGGACATCAAATAACATTATTCATTTTTATACGCAGTTCCATATTAAATGGATAACTTATACAATTATACTGTTTTTATAATAAGTATAAAACAATAGTTTATTGAATACGAGTAAAGTAACAGACGAGGACTATGTCAATGGAAAACAATTTGGGATAAATTTAACTGTTCAACTTTGGGATATTTTTTTAATTTATATTTAAGAACTGATATTTCTCTTTTGGCTGATATTTTTGAAAATATTCGATGTGATTGTTTAAAAAATTATAGATTTGATCCTTATCAATTTATAACTCCACCCGGATTAAGTTTCGAAGCTGAACAGGATGAAGTTTTATATAGATTTGAAAACTAGAAAAAGAACCAATCCAAGTAGTAATTTGAAATAGAGTTCTACAATATAATGATTAATTGTATTTTTGGAAAATCGAGAAAAAAGGTTTTTTTGTTATAATTGACACAAAGTGGGAGAATATTTGAAGACGTTATGGGGCTAGTGTGATGATAGCAAAATCCAACTTTGATAGTGTAACAATATTTAATGAAAATATAGCAGCCATCCATTTGAAAAAAGTGAAAATCGTGTATGATAAACCCAACTCTATGTAGGGTTTTCAGTTTTAGAAATTTCAAAGACTATTATATTGGATTTTTATTATAATTTTATGAAAAAAATGTATGGTGACAAATGTAAATTAGTATATACGGATACTGACTCTTTATGTTATGAAATACATTAAATGTGTATGATGATGTTAAAAAAAAAATTCAAAAATTCTATAAGTCAAATTATGACCCCAATAACGTGTACGATGGTTAATGAAAGATGAAATGTGAGGACAAAATTTATATATAGTTACATTGCAATATGTAGTAACACATATATGATTCGTAGTGGGAATGACATTAAAAAAAAATAAGGGATTAAAAAAAAAGGGTCTTAAAGGAAACGATAAACGAAAAAGATTAACTAGATAGTATTACTTTTTACGATAAAATAATACACATTACATTAGGTTAGGCAGAGGGACTAAGCTCTCTATACTTTACTGTGCTTTAATATATTCATCAAATTTAAATAACGATTAATAAATAAACTATTTTCTTTCAACTTATAACTGATGACAATTGTAATTTGTTTTAATTTTAAGCAATAATAAAATATACTACATTTGTAAGAAATGCTTCGAAAATTCCCATACATCAGTAAAATATTTTTAATATACACATTGATCATATTAAGTCTATTTATTTAAAATAAAATAAAATGGACTACATAAATGAATATAAAATTTACAATGAAAAACTAATTTGGACAGTTATTTAAAAAAGCATAATTAAAGCATTCTACATGACCATGCAGAAAAGCTGTAATACTTGTGCTTTCACTCCATTTACAACCATTTTCACGAGTAAATATTAAACAGTCAATTGAACCACTTGCGGCGGCTTCCCTTGTTGTGCCTTCATCCCATTCACAACCATTTTTATGGGCATATTTTAGACAGCCTAAATGTCTATTCGAAGCAGCCCCTCTCGTCGTACCTTCGACCCAATCGCATCCGTGTTTACGGGCAAATTTAAGGCAATCTAAATTACCATGCACGGCTGATGAAACTATTGTTCCTTCGTCCCATTCGTAACCTTTTTCATGAGCGTATTTTAAACATTCTAAATGCCCGTTTGCAGCAAATAATCTTGTATTTTTTTTATCCCATTTATATCCGTTTTCGTGAACATATTTCAATATTTCTAGCTTACCTTTTGAAACGACAACTCTGTATGTGTCTTCGTCCATTGGATGTCCATTTTCGTGGGCATATTTAAAGATTTTTAAATCACCACTAATAGCAGCTTGTTTTGTTATTGCTTCATCCCACGGACATCCATTTTCATGAGCGTATTTTAAGCATTCCAAATGGCCGCCTTCTGCAGCGGTTCTAGTCGTTTCTTCATCCCATTTGCATCCATTTTCATAAGCATATTTTAAGCATTCCAAATGGCCGCCTTCTGCAGCGGTTCTAGTCGTTTCTTCATCCCATTTGCATCCGTTTTCATAAGCATATTTTAAGCAGTCAAAATGACCGTATAGAACAGATGTCATTATTGTACCTTCAGCCCAATTACATCCATTTTCATGAGCGTATTTTATACATTCTAAACACCCATTTAGTGCAGCTGCTTCTGTTGTCATTTCATTCCATTTACATCCATTCTCATATGCATATTTTAAGCAGTCCAAATGTCCTCCATGTGCAGCGATTCTAGTTGTTTCATCATCCCATTTACATCCATTTTCATGAGCATATTTTAAACAGTCTAAATAACCAAACGCGACAGTTGCAGTCATTGTACGTTCAGCCCATTTACATCCGTTTTCGTGAGCATATTTTAACATTTTTAAATCACCATTAAGAGCAGCTAATTTCGTTGTCGTTTCATCCCATTCGCATCCATTTTCGTGTGCATATCTTAAACAATCAAAATTACCATATTTTGCAGCTTTTTCTGTTACTCCTTTATCCCATGGACATCCATTATCATGAGTATATATTAAGCAGTCTAAATGGCCGCTTTCTGCAGCAGCTCTAGTTGTTCCTTTATCCCAATCACAACCGTTTTCATGGGCATATATTAAGCAGTCCAAATATCCACCTTCTGCAGCAACTCTAGTTGTTCCTTTATCCCAATCACAACCGTTTTCATGGGCATATTTTAAGCAGTCCAAATGTCCACCTTCTGCAGCAACTCTAGTTGTTCCTTCATCCCATTTCTTACCTTTATTATAGGCGTACATTAAACAGTCTAAATGTCCATTCGAAGCAGCGCCTCTCGTCGTACCTTCGTCTAGATCACATCCATGTTCATAGGCATATTTAAAACAATCTAAATTACCGTGATTGGCAGCTGCAACTATTGTTCCTGTATCCCATTCACAATCATTTTCATGGGCGTATATTAAACATTCTAAATGTCCATTTTCAGCAGCAGCCCTCGTTGTTTTTTTATCCCATTTGCAACCGTTTTCATGAGCGTATTTTATTATTTCTAGATTACCCTTAAAAGCAGCAGCACCAGTAGTCTTTTCATTCCACGGACATCCATTTTGGTGGGCGTATATTAAGCAATCTAAATTACCGTACTCAGCAGCTGAAACTGATGTAAATTCAGCCCAATCACAGCCATTTTCATGGACAAATTTTAACATTTTTAAATCACCCTTAGTAGCAGCTACTACCGTTATTCTTTTATGCAATTCGCATCGATTATCGTGTGCGTATTTCAAACAATCAAAATTACTACCAAAAGCAGCATTTAAAGTCGTTTGTTCGTCCCAGCGGCACCCGTTCTCGTAAGCGTATTTTAAACAATCTAAACTGCCATTTAGTGCAGCAGCTGCTGTTGTTGTTTCGTCCCAATCGCATCCATTTATA